TGTAGGTTTTGTTTTTACTGAGACTTTATGTTTTTCTTCTTTATTTTGATGAGTAGGTTTGTTAACTTTCTTTGTGGTTACCTTGAGATTTAACCTTATCTTCTTAGATTTCAACCAGTCTGTTATTACTTGGTATCGCCTTGCCTTCCTCTCCATTAGAAAGTTGTATACCTACACCATTTATTCCTTCTTTTATTGTTCTGATGCTGTTGTCATTTACAGATTAACCTCTCTGGTTCCCTGTTGTAATTCTTTTGGTTTTGCATATTCTTTAAGAGTTCATTTCCTAGGTTGGTATCTGGCTAGTACAGTCCTGTGTCCTATATTCAGCCTATGGTCTGATAATTGTTTGTTCTCAGATCGTAGGACTCCCTTTAATAAGTCTTGTAAGTTTTGTTTGGTTTTTACATAGTCCCTTAATTTCTGTTTATCTGGAAATGACCTAATTTCACCATCATAGTTGAAAGAGAGTTTTGCAGGATATATTACTCTTGGCTGGCAGTTGTTTTCTTTCAAGGTTTTATATAGGTCATGCCATTGCCGCCTTGCCTGCACGGTTTCTGCCGAATAATCCGAGCTTAGTCTTATTGTTTCTCCTCTGTATGTGACTGTTTTTTTCTGGAGCTGCTCTCAGGATTCTTTGTTTGTCTTTGGTTTTGGTGAGTGTGATTATGATATGCCTTGGTGATTTTCTTTTGGCGTCTATTCTATATGGGGTTCATGGAGCTTCTTGGATGGTCAGCTTTTCATCTTTATGATATTAGGGAAGCTTTCTGTCGGCAGTTCTTCTGTGATCTTCTCTGTGTTTTCTGTTTTCTTCCCCTGTTCTGGAACTCTGATCACTCGCAGATTTTTGCTTTTGATTGTATCCCACATAATTCTCAGGGTTTCTTGATTTTTCTTCATTCTTTTTCCGAGTTTTCCTCAAACAGAGTTGTATCCAAGTGTTTGTCTTCAGTTTTGCCCATCCTGTCTTCCATCATTTCAAACCTGGTCCTCAGCCTTTCTATGACACTGTCCATTTCTGAAATCTTGTTGTTTATCTTTTGGATTTCTAATTGTTGTTTTTGTATGATTTCTGGTTGTGAGTTTATTGTAGCAGTTTGTTCCTGTGTTATTTTCTTGAATTCTCCAATTTTTTTGTCTGTAGTTTCCATGAATTTGTCTGCCTTTTCCTTGAGTTTGTCTATGTTTTCCTAATTTTTGTCCGCTTTTTGCTTCAACTCTTGGATAATTCTGAATATTAGAGATTTGAATTCCCTATCAGTTAGGCCTAGTGCCTTTTCTTCTACTGGAAGATCTCTGGTGTTTTATTTTGGATGCCTACTGGAACCATCCTGTCCTGTTTTTGTAAATGTTTTGATACTGTCTGTTGTCTTCGGGGCATTCATTGGTTATTTTCCTCATTTATTAATTGTATATGTGTTTGTTTCATCCTGTGTTTTTGTTTTATTTGGTTATGTCTGAGCAGGTGGGCTGTGTGTTCTTTGTTGTTTGCTTATCTGTGAGCATGATACTTTTCACCTTGTTGTCCAATTAGCAGGGTCAGTCACTCAGGTATGGTACAGCAGGGCAGGTCCAGCTGAAGGGGAGTTGCTGGGATGGGTTGTTTGTGGCATGTACCAGGGCTGACAGTGCGAACCAGGAATCAGTGCAGGGCAGGTTCCAGTAGGCCATGTCTGTGCTGCTTGGGAGTGAGATGTTCAGCACACGGTGTAGGTAGGCCGGAAGGAGGGGGTGGATTGTGATGTGTGGAGCTAAGATGT